AAGGGGGGGGGGGGGGGTTGGAATGGTGGACTAGTATCAGCAGAAGGAATGCAGATGGGTTTAGCAGAGGCGGCATGCAGGTCTTAAACTTTGTGGTTTTGGCATGAGAAAAATAGAAGAGTTTTAACATGAAAGGCTCTCAATTTGACTATTCGAATAAAAGATTTGCGTCTCTGGGATAAGTATTTTTTTATAGGTAATGTGAGGCATAATCAACATAACAATTTGAAAAGTGGTGGGAAAAGTAAAAACTAACAATGCTATTGAAAGAAAAGAGATTTGCCAGGTAGATTTAATCTTAATCGCGACATTCTTACAACCTATACTTTTATTTTTCAGTTTATTTTTCCACTAGTATTTAGAATTTTGAGACATATAATCCTGGATATTGGTTTTTGGGGATACTAAGGTAAATTTTCTGGGGGAGGAGGAGGCAATGATTATGATGCCACCTACGGATTGATGTTCTAGCATATTTGAATTAGTGCTTTCTTTGTTTTTTCTTTGAAGTTGGTAATTTTGCATTTAGGTTGCAGTTTCCGGAAAGTGTAGTGTGTGCTTTTATGTCATGGTACTGATAGTTTTACATGCTTCTGCCGTTCATTTCTTCTTTAGAAATGTTGTATGGGGCTCTCCTTTTTATAGGGTAAGTTATGCACTATAGTATCTTGTTACATGGGAAATGTTTATTGTCTCTAGTTGTTATATTGTTGCATTGAAACTAACTGCATATCTTATTTGGAGATCATTGATTCTTCAATTGTTTACGTTTTGATTAAGTTCTCAAATGCTTTATGTCGGTGTGTCATTCCCATTTTTAAATTTAATTGAGATGCATTTGGTCAAATTATTACGACTTCTTTTTGTGTCCTTCAGATAAATGACTAATTTTTGACAATCCACCCCAATATCGACAAGGCTAAATAATTGCTAAATGATAAATGTATTTTTCTGTCATTTGTGAAGTATTCCACATAATTTGATTTGGAGATAATGTTGTTTTTCGAAATGTAATTGTGGCATAATTTTATGGAGCTGCTTGAGTTTTTTTTAATGATTTAATCTATGAGCTTTGTACAAATTAATTCCCCCCCCCCAAAACCAACCCCAACCCACACACAAATTCTCTGCATTCTGAATCATTGTTGCTTCTGATATTTATATCATCACCAGCTTATGAGATTTTGTGATTTTAGTTGATTAATTAACTTGTAAGCTTCCGGGATGTAGGGATTATAAGTTTCCGTCTAAATTGTGATATTGGAAGACTGCTTGTGANGATATTTATATCATCACCAGCTTATGAGATTTTGTGATTTTAGTTGATTAATTAACTGGTAAGCTTCCGGGATGTAGGGATTATAAGTTTCCGTCTAAATTGTGATATTGGAAGACTGCTTGTGCTCATTTTTTTAGGAACATTACTATATTTCTGTTCAAGATTAGTGTTCACTTCATTTTTGTTTGAGAAATGAATTTGTGTATACTTGTCATGCAGAGAGAGTTTATATGAAGACGAAGAGTTTGACCAAAGGCAACTGGCTGCTTTACTTGTTTCAAAGGTCATAAATTTTTTTCCGTGCTCTTCATTTATTTTCCTTAGGTGCTCTTGTTTATACTATTATTATGTTGTTTACTTTTTAGCGAATGGAAAGATGGTTCTCTGCACTTGTGGTTTTAATGTTCATTTGAATTGCCAGAAGATGGAGGGAGGGAAGTTAATCTGGGATCTCAGAATTATATATTCGCTGAATAAATATAAATTTATCTTTTAGGTTCCGAGTTCTCAGCCACTTGAAACATTCATAAAGTTCATGGGAGCAAAATTTTGAAGCATAGTTATGAATGCTGTGATGTCCTCTCATTTAAGCAATATATATTTCATTTTTATTGACACCATTTAATCCTTTTCAAAGCCACTTGGACTAACCCAATATGCATAAATTTATAATTTTCTTAAGCCTTTAAGGCTTTTCTCTCTATCAAGAGTTGTAGAGTATACCCATTTTGATCAAAGGGAATAGTTTTTTTCAATGTTTTAATTGTTAAACTTGATTTAAAATCAAAAGTTATAATATTATATATTTTCTTAGTTGGACACTAGTATGTATCCCAGTTTTATAATTTATTTTCAATATCTGAAAATTCAATTTCTTCCAGATTTTTTACATAATCTTCTTTATGTTTATTATCAAGTTTAAATAGGCTTAATGCCATTTTGCTTTTCAAAAATTTTCTGTTGACTCATATACGTTACTATTACCTTCAGGTTGCTGCAGTAATTCATCTTTTAATTCTGCTACAGTAATGCTATAGTAATTTTTTGCTACAGTAATTCTGCTATAGTGTTTTTCTTCCTTTTTCTACTCTTGCTGTCAACAATTTACGGGAAACACAAACGATCTCACTCCTATCTCTTGGATATGGCCTAACCTTCCACACGTGACTTGGGCGTAGAACTATAGGAATAAAAGAAAATTATTATAACAAAGTTATTGTAATAGATTCAAAATAACATTAGTATAACAAAATGAAATTACAATTACATAAGTAGCAAGACTTAGTAATAGATCTGCATATAAATCAACAGAATAGTTTTAAGCTGCCATTACTTGGCTCTGATACCAATAATGCTTGTGGATCGATGTATAAACAAGCGAAAATTTTTATTTAATGCAGAACTTGAAATTACAAGATTTACTTATAAAGGAAGTGGAGAGAACTGAAGATGAAGGAGATAAACAAGAGAAGAAGGGTGAGATAGAGTTTGAAGAGAAAAAGGGAGATGGAGTCTCGAAAGGTGTCCAATAGACTAGACAAGCACCTTTTTAAATGGAGGTTGGATATGAAATTCACTGACATTATTAAATGTGTCATCATCACTGTTTGTGATGTCATGTCTTTNAGACAAGCACCTTTTTAAATGGAGGTTGGATATGAAATTCACTGACATTATTAAATGCGTCATCATCACTGTTTGTGACGTCATGTCTTCTGTCGCAATTACAATTATTATTGATGTCATTACTTGCGTCACTTCTTAGCGCCGTCTCTTTATCTGGTTACCTGTAAATTAAATCATAGAGTTCAGCATTAGTGCAGTCTTGGAGGTTTATCTCCATATCTTCATTATCAAGAGTATAACCTGTGATAGGAGTATATCTCTGTGAATCCATAAAATTGTCATCAGAGTTGATAGGAGTGTTGTCTTAAAGACATAGAAAATGAGGAAGTAACCTCCAAAGTAATTGTTCCCATCATCAGTATAAACATTGGATTTAATTCAATCGAATTTCTTAAAGAAAAACTTCTTAAAGACAAGTCCCATTTGACAACTGGGCAGCTTAAAGTGGCAGTTATGGACGAAATGCGTCTTCAAATCATGTCCATTTTCAGAATGGGCAAAACTGAGAAGATTGATCTCGTCAATACTTCTACAGTGGCCATAAGAAATAAGGGCAAAAACAAAGTTAAGGAGGATGATAGAAAATTCAACACTTCTATCAAATCTGATGACGACTTTATAGATTCATCGGGATATATCTTTGTCATAGGTTATACTCCTGATAACGAAGATATGAAGATAAACCTCTAAGACAACACTAATGCTGAACTCTATAACGTAATTTACATATATCGAAATAAAGAGACGACGCTAAGAAGTGACGTAAGCAATGACATCATAATCAGTGATGGTGGCATGTTATGACGTCAATGAATAGTTTAAAGTTGTGAATAGTANCGTCATCATCACTGTTTGTGACGTCATGTCTTCTGTCGCAATTACAATTATTATTGATGTCATTACTTGCGTCACTTCTTAGCGCCGTCTCTTTATCTGGTTACCTGTAAATTAAATCATAGAGTTCAGCATTAGTGCAGTCTTGGAGGTTTATCTCCATATCTTCATTATCAAGAGTATAACCTGTGATAGGAGTATATCTCTGTGAATCCATAAAATTGTCATCAGAGTTGATAGGAGTGTTGTCTTAAAGACATAGAAAATGAGGAAGTAACCTCCAAAGTAATTGTTCCCATCATCAGTATAAACATTGGATTTAATTCAATCGAATTTCTTAAAGAAAAACTTCTTAAAGACAAGTCCCATTTGACAACTGGGCAGCTTAAAGTGGCAATTATGGACGAAATGCGTCTTCAAATCATGTCCACTTTCAGAATGGGCAAAACTGAGAAGATTGATCTCGTCAATACTTCTACAGTGGCCATAAGAAATAAGGGCAAAAACAAAGTTAAGGAGGATGATAGAAAATTCAACACTTCTATCAAATCTGATGACGACTTTATAGATTCATCGGGATATATCTTTGTCATAGGTTATACTCCTGATAACGAAGATATGAAGATAAACCTCTAAGACAACACTAATGCTGAACTCTATAACATAATTTACATATATCGAAATAAAGAGACGACGCTAAGAAATGACGTAAGCAATGACGTCATAATCAGTGATGGTGGCATGTTATGACGTCAATGAATAGTTTAAAGTTGTGAATAGTAATTTTTTACTTTTTGAAATTTGGATTTCATATACAACCTCTATTTAAAGAGGTGCTTGTCCAATTTGTTGGACACACCTTTCCAGACTCCATCTCCCTTTTTTTCTTCAAACTCTCTCTCTCACCCTTCTTCTCTTATATATCTCCTTCATCTTCGCTTCTCTCTACTTCCTCTATAAGTAAATATTGTAATTTCTAGTTTTGCATTAATAAAAGCTTTAGCTTGTTTACACATCGATCCAGAAACTGATTCTATTAAATTTGATAAATTTTACAGAAATAAGGGAGACCCGAAAAGTCCATCCTACAATAAAGCATCTATTTTAAGGATATTATCTCAAAGCATCTATTGTTAAATTGTTTAAATTTAACAATTCTTAGAACTTTAATANTTATCTCAAAGCATCTATTGTTAAATTGTTTAAATTTAACAATTCTTAGAACTTTAACAGGACCTCTTTATATAGAGTATAATTATTTTGATTTATATATATATATATATATATTTTAAACTAATAGGGTTTGGTTGACTGAAGGATATAGCTTTTCAAATTGAAGACTTCCTCTAAAATGTCTCAAATGCCTTTATGTGTCAACAGTAGGATATTTGGACTTNCTGAAGGATATAGCTTTTCAAATTGAAGACTTCCTCTAAAATGTCTCAAATGCCTTTGTGTCAACAGTAGGATATTTGGACTCNATATATATATATATATATATTTTAAACTAATAGGGTTTGGTTGACTGAAGGATATAGCTTTTCAAATTGAAGACTTCCTCTAAAATGTCTCAAATGCCTTTATGTGTCAACAGTAGGATATTTGGACTTTGTGTTTGCCATGCAGATATGAATGAAATTGCTATTGTAGTTTAATTTTATTTTTGTTTATGTTTTCATTTTTTTAGTTTTGTGGTTAGTTTTATCTACCTCTAGGTTGAAACATTATGATATACCCAAGATTCCTTAATTTGCAGAAAAATATCGTAATGTTTTGACATGAGAAAAGCAAACAAAGAGGGTTGTGGGGGATNCCTCTAGGTTGAAACATTATGATATACCCAAGATTCCTTAATTTGCAGAAAAATATCATAATGTTTTGACATGAGAAAAGCAAACAAAGAGGGTTGTTGGGGAANCTAGGTTGAAACATTATGATATACCCAAGATTCCTTAATTTGCAGAAAAATATCGTAATGTTTTGACATGAGAAAAGCAAACAAAGAGGGTTGTGGGGGATAAAAACCCGTCACCTATTCTCTTTGATGGGGACTCATTGTGCCTTATATATATATTGCTTATTAAAGGGATAAGTATACCCTCAGCTCCGTCATTATTATCAATTTATTTATTTTTCCATGTTTATCACTGTGAGCATCTCTTCATATCTAGGGATGGTGATTGAGTTGTGTCATGTCGTTTTATGATCGTGTCATTTCTAATTCGTGTCGATTATTAGTTAACCCTAGCCTAACTCATTTAATTAAACGTGCTATGTTTGGATGTTACAAGCATTCCCTTGGCTACATCTTCATCATCATTTATTTTTTCCTTTCCACGTATATCACAATGAGCATCTCTTCATACCTAGGATGGTAATCGAATTGTGTCATTTTTGTTTTTTGATCATGTCATTTCGAACTCGTGTCAACTGTCGAGTACTAGTCAACTCTGGCCCAACTCTGTCAATTAATCGTGTTAGATGTGTTGACACTAACGCAACTTGTTTATCTTAATCGTGTCGTGTTCTGGTTGATAGTTATAACCCATGAACAAAAAATCCAACAATAAAATCGNCAATTAATCGTGTTAGATGTGTTGACACTAACGCAACTTGTTTATCTTAATCGTGTCATGTTCTGGTTGATAGTTATAACCCATGAACAAAAAATCCAACAATAAAATCCTTTCTTCTCCTAATCAAACCTACCACCTATAGGCCTTCCATAAACTCAAAATCCGGTTGATCTTTATGTTAGGGATACCTAGTAAAAAGATCTTCTAAGTCTAAAAGGATAGATACAATATCTGATCAAGAAATGAAAAAAATTGGTATTCTATCCGTCACATACCAATTAAACGGGTTGTTGTATCAAAATCAGGTTATTCTTCTTTCACACTAACTTGACTTATAGTATTCTTGCCAGCAGGTTGTGTCCCTTTTAAGTCCATGTCGTGATTCTAGAACTAGTTAACCATTGCCTCTAATTTTGTGTCAGGTTGGCGCTGTATCGAAATTTGCCCCCTATTCACCAATACCAAGGTTGCATTCCTAAAATGCACATCCTGTCCTATCAAAAAGTCTAATTCTCATCCTGAGAAGCTAGTCTACCTAAATAAGAAGCTAGAATGCACATCCTAAGAAGTGCATTCCTAGTCTGCCTTAGTTCTGTAAAACAGACTTTTCCGACCTCCTGTGAAGTGGCTTCTTTGGTTTAAATAGTAAAAAAAGAATTCCATTATTACCCTCAAATTTTCTGGAACAATGCTGTGAGTTCTATTCTTATAACTTGGTGGCTTGTCTAATAACAAGCAGGATGAGGGCCATGAGGCCTAATTAGTATGAAAGCCCTCAAGTAGCCATGCGATATGCTTCTAGATTTTCTTGCCTGCCGGCATATTTATGCTACAATTATCAGAATTTTTGTTAAATTTTGTTTCAGAAAATTTACCTGTTTGCTACGTCTTACATGTGGAAATAGAAGTAGAGATTTCAGTGACCATTGGGTGTTATTGCTTATAATGCCTCTGTCTGGTTGTTCTTCACAGATTATCCTGTTCTGTCTACAGGTTTTTTATTACTTGGGTGAACTTAATGACTCACTATCATATGCCCTTGGAGCTGGTCCTTTATTTGATGTTTCGGAGGATTCAGATTATGTTCATACTCTACTCTGTAAGAATTTCTCGTTTGATCCATTGCTCTCTTGGTAAATTGAAAGAGTTATTTTCAGTTTTGAAATTAGTTCATGGTTCAAATTTGCTGCTCTTGAGTGGTTAATGGCATTATAGGTAAGCATTGACCAAGATATCATATTGTTATGCATTTCTTGTACTCTAGTGGCTTTATACAGATGTTTAGAGGTTTATGGAGTATAGACTTACAAAGCTGTGTCTTCATTATGCTGTTTCTTTACTCAGCTAAGGCTATAGATGAATATGCCAGTCTTAAGACCAAGGCTGCCGGGTCGAATGATGAAGCTGCAATGGTGGATCCTAGGTTGGAGGCGATTGTTGAGAGAATGCTTGATAAGTGCGTAAGCTATTATTTTGGTGCGAAGCTGTGGTTCCCTCCTTTGTCTGACTTTTATCATTGATCAATTTTCCTTCTCCTCTTTAGGTGTATAGCTGATGGAAGATATCAACAAGCTATAGGAACAGCCATTGAATGCCGAAGATTGGATAAGCTTGAGGAAGCAATTACAAGGAGTGATAATATTCATGCAACTCTATCTTATTGCATTAATGTTTCTCATTCCTTCGTTAATCTCAGAGAATATCGACGCGAGGTAAAATGATCACAATATATATATATATATATATATATGATTGAGTTTGTATTCCAATTTTCTCTGACATTACAATATTTTGAAAGTTCTGGTTGCTATGTTTTGTTCATTAAGCTATGCCATGATTGTTGCCAGCTTATGTTTCCCCATTCAAGTCTTTTGGGTAGATTTATAACTGGTTAAAAAAATAATAAATTAAAAGAAGATAGATTTATAACTAGTTAAAAAAATAATAAATTAAAAGAAGACTAAAGTGAGAGCAGAGAAAAGAGGAAAAGTAAGGGAAATAAAGAGGACTATCTATATTTCCCAGCACAACTATCTTATATGTATGTATTGGTTGGGTAGGTTGGAAATGGTTTCCTTTCTGACTTCTTGTGAAAACTTAGTGGCTGGAAGCTGAAGAGAATGTTGTTGACAATGCCCTATGTAAAAATGGGAAACAAATTCTAGTCGTCTTAGCTTATTAGAAACATATACTTAACTATAGATACTCATAAACTGTCTGTAATTTTAGAGGATAATTGGCTTAAGGGGAAGCACACATGCTGATGGTCCATAGCTTGCACCTTTGTCAGAGTGTGACTGTGTCCATAAGCAAAACTTCATTCTACTCGGAGTTCAAACTGATAGTACGACGGAAGGCGGAACAATCCAAGACTGATCCAAATTCACATTCTTTATGAGAGGACTAAATGAATAAAAACTTTAGTTCTTAAATTGATTTCTATAAAATTAACAATCTAGTAATTCCATCAAAACTACTATTTAGTGTATAAAACATGAAAATATTTTTTAGTGAGACTGTGAGATTTGGAAACAACGTATATATAATTTCAGTAATTACAAAATTTTAGTCGAGTTGAATCATTATCAGACCAGGTCCTCCATAGTCTGTGATCTGAATCATGAATCAGGGTTACAAATAATATTCCTCTAACCTAAGTTGGATGCTTGGATTATATTTGGATACTATCGAATCTGTTGATTTTATGCAGCTAATCAATATTTTGTATTTGTCCATGAGCCTGGAAAGTCTGACATATTCAAACCCAAGTAGAGGCTGAAATCTATAGCTGCAGAATAGGATATTATAAATAGAAGTTTGTTACGAAGTTGCCTAGATTCACAGTGTGATTTCCTTTTTGGTTTGTCATTGGTCTGACTTGATTTCAGTTTTCAATCTAGTAAACTTCTGTGTCCTACTTCCCAATATTGTCATCTTACATAAGGGCGTTCATCACATGTCTATTTGCTTTAATTCTCTTTTATAATGTTTGACATACTATGTTTGTACATGTGCATGTCCTTGTTTCATTGCTGTACAACTTTGTTTTGTCTACCAGTGGTTTTTCCCCTTTTGGTTTTGGCGATGGGGGGAGGGAATCAAAGAATCTTGCTAGATTTTGGAAGAGATTACTTCTTTTTTGAGTGCATCCAATACAGATCCTCTTCCAATTGTGTACAGGTGCTTTGTCTTCTCGTTAAAGTGTATCAAAAGCTGCCGTCTCCCGATTATTTGAGTATTTGCCAGTGCCTCATGTTTTTGGATGAAGCAGAGGGTGTTTCAAGCATATTGGAAAAACTTTTGCGATCTGAAAATAAGGAGGATGCTTTGCTGGCACTTCAAATAGCTTTCGATCTTGTAGAGAATGAGCACCAAGCTTTTCTTTTGAAGGTGAGAGACCGGCTCTCTGATCCCAAGTTACAAACTTCAGAACCTGTGCAGTCAGCATCTGCTGAGCCAGATTCTGTACAAAATGGAAATGCCTCTGCATCAGAGGATATTCAGATGACAGATGGAACTCAAGCTTCTAATGGAACTGTGCCTAATGCTGATCCAAAGGAAGCGATCTATGCTGAGAGGTTGGCAAAAATCAAAGGAATTTTGTCTGGGGAGACTTCAATACAGTTGACATTGCAATTCTTATACAGCCATAACAAGTGAGGCGGTTATTTTAGTCCCTCATATTTTTATATTTGACAAATTATACTAGCGTAAATTTCCGTGTAAGTAATGAAAAAATGCTCTCGCTTCGATTGTTGTGAATTTGTATATAGGTCGGATCTCCTTATTCTTAAGACAATAAAGCAGTCAGTTGAGATGAGAAATAGTGTCTGCCACAGTGCAACAATATATGCCAATGCAATTATGCATGCTGGGACGACCGTGGATACATTTCTCCGGGAAAATCTGGTGAAAAAATTTGCAGTTCCTATCTTTCTTTGTAGCATGATGCAGATTTTATTGTCAATATTAACGTAGCCTGCTTATATGAATTGTCAGGATTGGCTCAGCAGGGCCACAAATTGGGCTAAATTTAGTGCGACAGCGGGGCTGGGTGTTATTCACAAAGGCCACCTGAGGCAAGGTAGATCACTGATGACCCCTTACTTGCCTCAGGGTGGGGCTGGCGGTGGTGGCAGCCCTTATTCAGAAGGTGGTGCCCTATATGCTTTGGGTCTGATCCATGCAAACCACGGCGAGGGCATCAAACAGTTTCTTCGTGATAGCCTACGAAGTACCAATGTTGAGGTTCTTGCTTTATATTGCCTTCCTTCTTGAGTACTAAGTTTTTATAGTTGCCAGATTTATTTTGGAATTTCTGTTGCAGGTTATTCAGCATGGTGCATGTTTAGGACTTGGTTTAGCAGCTTTGGGAACTGCTGATGAAGATGTCTACGATGACATAAAAAATGTGCTATATATGGACAGTGCTGTTGCTGGTGAAGCTGCCGGTATTAGTATGGGTTTACTAATGGTTGGAACTGCAAGTGAGAAGGCAGGAGAAATGCTTGCTTATGCACATGAGACACAGCATGAGAAGATTATTAGGTAAAATTGGGTCCTGTTATCTGGATGTTGAATTAAGCTTTGCTCATTAAGTCCTGTCTTTCTGTTTATTTGGTGGCTTTAAATTGTTGCAGGGGTTTGGCATTGGGGATAGCCCTCACCNAGGTAAAATTGGGTCCTGTTATCTGGATGTTGAATTAAGCTTTGCTCATTAAGTCCTTTCTTTCTGTTTATTTGGTGGCTTTAAATTGTTGCAGGGGTTTGGCATTGGGGATAGCCCTCACTGTCTATGGAAGAGAAGAAGAAGCAGACACACTGATCGAGCAGATGACTCGGGATCAAGACCCTATACTGCGTTATGGCGGCATGTATGCTTTGGCATTGGCATACAGTGGAACAGCAAACAATAAGGCCATCCGCCAGCTGCTGCACTTTGCTGTATCAGATGTGAGCGACGATGTCAGGCGAACTGCAGTTTTGGCACTTGGTTTTGTTCTGTATTCTGAACCAGAACAGGTTGGCGCCTTTCTTTTTGATTCCTTTGAAGCTCCTAAGTTTCTTGTCCACTCTTACGTGTTTGTCAGTATCAAATTGATATTTGGTTGTTTCAGATGTCAGAAAACCATTTTGTGTTGTCCCCCCTAGTTAGATGGAGCAGTAGCTTTTCTCTTTTAGAATTGGTGTATGCTTGTGCTTGTGTCTGTAAAGTGTATATCATTATTTGCTGTCTATTTTAATGGTATCTGGTGAATGTCTATTGTTTCGTCCTTTCCTCTCTGTTTTTTATTTTTGGTTTGTTTTGGGTGGGGGTTGGTTCGTTGCATTAATCTTTAGGGGGATCATGGATTAATTCTTTATCTATCTCGCTGCCTCTGTACTGCAGACCCCTCGAATAGTCTCCCTGCTATCTGAATCATACAACCCACATGTTCGGTATGGTGCGGCTCTGGCAGTTGGTATCTCCTGTGCTGGTACAGGTCTGAGCGAGGCCATATCATTGCTAGAGCCTTTAACATCAGATGTAGTAGATTTTGTTCGTCAAGGTGCTCTTATTGCAATGGCTATGGTGATGGTGCAGATCAGTGAAGCCAGTGACTCTCGTGTTGGTGCATTTAGGTACTGTACCTTGTTTGAATTTGATTTTTTTTTGTTTACATCTTTCTCTTAGTTTATTGTGTTATCTTTTTTTATTAGGCGCCAGTTAGAGAAAATAATTTTGGATAAGCATGAAGACACCATGAGCAAGATGGGAGCAATTTTGGCCTCTGGAATCCTTGATGCTGGTGGAAGAAATGTGACCATAATGTTGCTTTCCAAGACAAAGCATGATAAAATTACTGCAGTTGTGGGTCTTGCTGTTTTCAGCCAATTTTGGTACTGGTATCCGCTTATATATTTTATTAGCTTATCTTTCTCACCGACAGCTTTCATTGGGCTGAATTATGATCTGAAAGTCCCAAGATTTGAGTTCTTGTCACACGCAAAACCTTCCTTGTTCGAATATCCTAAGCCAACTACTACCCCCTCCACCACATCAGCTGTGAAACTTCCTACTGCAGTTTTATCAACATCCGCAAGATTCAAGGCTAGGGCTAGTAAGAAAGAGGCGGAGCACAAGGCTAATTCTGAGAAGTCATCTGCACCTGAGTCATCTTCTGTGGGTACAAACCCTGGAAAAGGGAAATCATCCAGTGATAAGGATGGGGACTCCATGCATGTAAATATCACTAACTGCTCTCTCTTATAGCGGTGTTGAGACTCTTTATTACTCCATGCATGTAATACCTTAGAAATGTTGATTTCGATGTTCTGATGTTTTTTATATTATTTTCTCCTTTTGCTGGTCAATGGACTTTGTATCCTTGCATAGTTGTAAATAGTATTCGGCAAAGCCAACATAGTCCATTGCAACCGTGGGGAAAATTTTCACTATACAATATTTTGTCATTATGTCATTGTGTCAGTTGATTTAGATTTACTATCCAATCTTAAATGATCATTTTTTCTGTCTTTTGGTAGGTTGATGGTCCTGTAGAGAAGAAGGCAGAGCAGGAGCCATCTTTTGAAATTTTGACTAATCCGGCCAGAGTGGTTCCTGCTCAAGAGAAATTTATCAAGTTTCTTGAAGAAAGCAGATACATTCCAGTGAAGTTAGCACCTTCTGGGTTTGTTCTTCTGAAAGACCTTCGTCCAACTGAGCCCGAAGTGTTGTCTCTGACTGATACACCCTCATCAACAGCATCAACTACTGGTGGATCTGCAGCAGGACAACAGGGCCCAGCCTCAGCAATGGCTGTTGACGAGGAGCCTCAGCCGCCACAGCCATTTGAATACACTGCGTGATTGGCTGATATTCATATGCTTCATTTGGTTTTCTGAGTGCAATAGGGTACTCAAAACTGTGGGGCTTCTGTGCTAAAAAAAGATTTTGTTTTTAATTTTTTGTGATCTAAGCATCACTCTTCTCTGTCCTTCGAAGGTATGGTTGACCTCGGGTGAGCTTCTGGCAGTTCTTTTTCATCTAGTCTTGCTTACCCTTTTTTTCTTTCGTACGTTTACAGGGTGGGAGGGGGTTGAGGGGGGAAGTAGGGAATGTGGAAAACTGCTATTATTACCTGTAGCTGTTCTTGTTTTGCTGTATTTCTTCCATATGAACAAAGTGACACTGGAAGAGAGGTTGCAATAGTCTGTCTTCATTTAAAATTTTTAAAGGTTGAAGTCACTCCAACCTTACTCATTTGTATGATTGAACTCACAATTAGGGATTGGAAACTATATACCAAATCATAAGTGCTGAAAATAATTTAGCTAAATTTCGACTTTCAAAAAACAAATCAAGTTTTTCTTGCGAGTTCTTTTTTTCTGCAGCTAGTGTAGGAACAACCACCTAAACCAAAATCGCACCATGTTTGATGTTGAAATTTAGGCATATAATTAAATCAAGTTGTTTGACCTGCACAGGGAATTGAAGCCTAGACATTCTCAGTTTTCAATTTCATTCTTTCATTCTTAATGGAACGTAGTATTATGTATCTTCCATTCTTAATCGAACTTAGAATTATGTATGTAACACAAAGATCATGTAATATCAGCGAATTAAAGACTTGATTATGGTACCCAAAAAACAAAATTGTACCGCACTTTTAAAATTTATTATTTTAATGGGTATTTTTATAATTTTTGTGGANTAAGATTATGAATTAAGTCTGACATGCCTTTTAATGATTTTGACTTAACTAATGAACTGAGCCTAAACATAATATAATCTTGACTGGTCGCATATAATTAATCTTATTTGAATGCAGATTAGAATCTGATTAAAATCACAAGTCTTTTGCAAGAGCAAACACTTGAGACCTCAAAAGCTTTATTAAATCTTCCAAAAAAACACTATCAAGATCACAATTATATTTTCAAAACTTTTGGAACAGGACCAATAATTTCATGTTGGAGAGTCAATTGACCCCACACATGACCATTTTGCTCTTACTCCATGGCTAATAATATCTTTAAGAGACACTTTATTTTCACTTTATTTTTCATTCCCAATTTAGCTCGTCCCNGATCATTTTACAACTAAAAAATTTATCATTTTTATAAATGTTTTTATTACTGTTGTGACTGTTTTTATCACTTTTGTGGTATCTATTTTTACCATTGTTGCGGATATTTTTATCACTTTTGTAGTATCTATTTTTTTTCACAATAATAAAAATATCTACAAATATACNCCATTTGGAGAGTCAAACTCACTTTTACTCTACCATATCATTAAATGAAAAAAAAAATAAATAAACATTTACGTCTTGTTTATTAAATGTTATTGACTATATAGACTATTTCNGAAAAAAAAAAAAAATAAACATTTACGTCTTGTTTATTAAATGTTATTGACTATATAGACTATTTTNGTAGACTACTACGCGAAGTAATAGGTAAAATGGACTATAAGTACAGTACCCTAGATTTTAGTGAGAGCTAATTACAGTGTTTTTTTGGCACTTTTTGAAATGGACGCTTTATGATCTACTTAACCGGGGACTTTAGGATACCAAACAAATGAGAGAACAAATAATCCATCTCAAACATAATGGATCGATTCCAAACTGATTTGGTGTTATTGAAATGGTGCTACCTACCACCATCTGAGGGAAAGCTATACTGATTTAGCTAAAGTTATTACCCTCAAATTATCACTCAATTTTATTATGTACTTGTATATATATATATATTCGTTTCCAATTTTTACTTATTTAAAACCGGGACTGTGAAATAATAGATTTGGCTTTTGACTCAAATCTAGATTTGTCAAAAATGTTAATATAGATATTGATGATGTATAGAGTTGGTTATTCACGATTAAATCAGTCGAGTGTGTGATGTAAATCAATTAATAATAAGAGGTAAAGATTGGGTGGTTGAGTGGTGATGACTTAACCACTGAAGGCGACAACAATGCCGAAGAACTCTATTAATGAGATAATATAAAGTAGTAGGAGAGAGAGAGAGAGAGAGCAAAAATGCGCATAAGATGAAATGTGTAAGATCTGCCCCTATGTGTAATGGGGTTTATAATTTATAGATATAGAGTCCTAACTTTGGCAGAGATGTAAAGGTCAAGTTACTAATTTATCGGGAAGGATAGTTACTATTAAAGATAAACACTATTTTGGAGTAATGACTATCTCGATGATTGCTCTTTTACGTGTATTAGTTTTTCTTGAACTCTTGGGTTATGGATTGAAATAAGATTATGAATTAAGTCTGACATGCCTTTTAATGATTTTGACTTAACTAATGAACTGAGCCTAAACATAATATAATCTTGACTGGTCGCATATAATTAATCTTATTTGAATGCAGATTAGAATCTGATTAAAATCACAAGTCTTTTGCAAGAGCAAACACTTGAGACCTCAAAAGCTTTATTAAATCTTCCAAAAAAACACTATCAAGATCACAATTATATTTTCAAAACTTTTGGAACAGGACCAATAATTTCATGTTGGAGAGTCAATTGACCCCACACATGACCATTTTGCTCTTACTCCATGGCTAATAATATCTTTAAGAGACACTTTATTTTCACTTTATTTTTCATTCCCAATTTAGCTCGTCCCATTTGGAGAGTCAAACTCACTTTTACTCTACCATATCATTAAATGAAAAAAAAAATAAATAAACATTTACGTCTTGTTTATTAAATGTTATTGACTATATAGACTATTTCCCTACTACAATAAAGAGTTTTATTGAGACTGTCGAAATAATTTCACTCTATTTTTTTAAAGCAAAATAGTCTAAAAAATAAAAAATATTATTGAAGATGCTCTCTGTGCTATTGGAGATAGATGCTTTAGGCTCAGACCACTCAACTTTTCACCAAACGAGATTCATGACAATATACGATTGAGTGAGTAAAAAGTCAATATAACTATGCACCCGTTTTCATATATGGATATGATAGTTACTAAATTAAATAGGTAAATTGATTTGTTATTGGATGGTGACAATAGTAACATGGTGTTATCGTTACATTTAATATTTTTTGGTCATGCTGATGATCTAAATGACTTTATTATTTGGATAAATTACATTTTAAATTCATAAAGTTTATATTGTATTTCAATTTGGTCCTAAACTATATCAATGCAAGCAATTATGTCTTCAAACTTTTAAAATTTTGTTTCAATTAAGTTATTCTATCGAAATCCCTTGGCAATTCTAAAGTGAAAGAGAGCAAGAGCTTCATAGCCCCCAAATTTTGGTAAGTTTGCTGTAATGTTATTTTATGTGTCTTCTAATTCTTGGTATTAGCTCATGTATTAGAGTGTTCCTGTACAACTGCAACATTTTGAATAATAATAATAAAAAAATGAACTGGACTGGATGTGGATACAAGTCCACCTCTAGATCACATGCACATATATATATATATATATGTGTGTGTGTGTGTGTATTATATCAATTTCAACATTCAAAAAAAGTTCAAATTTGCCATCCTCAGCGGTTAATTTAAGAAGAAGTCATGAAAAGTGAAGGTGGTAAAGTCAGGAAAGAGCGTTGTTGGCCTGTGATTCACATTAATAAAAGAGAGGTGAAGGTGTGAGGTGAACTTGTGTGGTGGAAATCAATCCACAGGCTCCTCTCTCTCTCTCTCTCTCTCTCAAAATCCGTATATATATACACATAAAGTCAAAGACGGCTTTAGCAGGCAACCCTTGTCAAAAATATAGAGATTATCTCACCACCATCATCAAATTTTTTGATATAAACATATCTACTACCATGATTGTGTAGTACCCCATGCTCTTGTTCTTATTCTCTGTAGAAGAACCCCACCTCATTTTAACAGTTTTTTTTTTTTTTTTCTCTTTCCTCTCTGGAAAGGTTCGTGGTGCCAAAACTATAATTATATAATTTAGTTTCAAGCCCCAAGGTTTGAAACCCTAAGTTTGAGCTGATTTTTTTTTTTACAATTTTTACTGTTTCAGGACTGAGGAGGTGGACCCAAACTGTGAAGTTTCACTAGGGTTTGTCTTGTCTTTACTTGAATCCAAAGCTCTTATATATGCCAATGGAAAAAGAAGAGAACTACTCGGTATATATATACCTCCAAAGCCTATCATATGTATATGTTTATGAGTTTTTGTTGATATATCCTTTAATCATGAACATGTTGTTTTACTCTGAAATTGAGCTGTTTCAGGCCCCCTTTCATGGAACTTCTTCTGGTCTAGACTATTCTATGGAGCATCATCATCATCAACAGCAGCTCATGAGGCCACGACTCGGTGAAACGCCCGGTGATAACAGCAATCAAGTGGTGGATTACATGCTCAATAATGCTCCGCAACAACAATTCTCTTCTGGGTTCTGTAACTCAACCTCGCTTGATAAGTTGAGCTTTGCAGATGTAATGCAATTTGCAGATTTTGGACCCAAGTTGGCCTTGAATCAAACCCGAAATTCGGAGGAAGAAACTGGGATTGATCCAGTTTCTTTCCTTAAATTTTCTGTTTTGAATGAGAAGTTGCAGGATGATCAGTCTCTAATGGGTTCTCTTCCACAAGAAGTTGAAGACAATGAAGGTAGATTTAAAGGAGTTAATGAGGAAGGTAAGGGAAGATTAATTGTGGAAGAAGGTGATGAGAAAGAAAATGAAGCTAGGGGTGGTTCAGAGAATACCTCTGTGCAACTTCAGTTTCTTGGGGAAAATGTTCAGAAGAGTCCTGTTACAGAAGCAAAGAACAAGAGAAAGAGACCAAGAACCCTAAAAACAAGTGAGGAAGTAGAGAGCCAGAGGATGACTCACATTGCGGTTGAAAGAAATCGACGGAAGCAAATGAATGAGCATCTACGTGTTTTGAGGTCTCTTATGCCGGGCTCATACGTCCAAAGGGTATCTATTGTCTATGCTTAGAATGCAAACAATCACTTACAAACCGTTTAACTTTAAATTTCAAGAGATTTGAACTCATGACGTATGAGTTTAGAACTCACTCTTTACCTTGTTTGATGAAAATTCATCTAACACTGATTTCTATATCTACATGTACATATATATAAACATATATGTATGTATATAGGCACATATAGAGAGACTCTTGTGAAGCAAAAGTACTGGAATAAGATTGGCTTTTTGGCAATTCACATGGATAACTCATTTAACTTTTATATTTCTTCATCTAAAATTGGATAAATTACTTTTGAATTTAGTGTTTTTTATTAATGAACATGACAAACTCAAAATGATACGACTGAAACATGAAACGATACAATTCAATCGACACTCCTAACTATATATTAACATTTATAAAGTAGTTACTGTTCTAAATCCGTTTTGGTTTTCTGCCAATTCACAGGGAGATCAAGCATCCATTATAGGTGGAGCCATTGAGTTCGTAAGAGAACTAGAGCAACTCCTTCAATGCCTTGAATCCCAGAAGCGCAGGAGACTCTGTGGTGACGCTCCACGACCTATCGGAGATTCATCTCTGCCAATCCAACAGCCTCAGACACCATTCTTTCCTCCTGTTCCAATCCCAAATGATCAGATCAAGCTTGTTGAGTATGAAACCGGACTGCGAGAGGAAACAGCCGAGAGCAAGTCATGCTTGGCCGATGTCGAAGTGAAGCTTTTAGGGTTTGATGCACTGATCAAGATCCTTTGTAGAAGAATGCCTGGACAGCTCATTAAGACCATAGCTGCACTTGAAGATTTGCAGCTCAATATTCTTCACACCAACATAACCACAATTGAACAGACTGTTCTGTATTCCTTCAATGTCAAGGTATAGCTCGTCTTCTTTTAGATCTAACTACACATAGTACTTCTATTTTTATGACCGATAGTTTTAATATTAGATGAAAGTCGCTTTCAATCAAATAACCAACTAGAATTTTCCTTCGTATATTGAGGTAGGACAGCAAATTAATCAACTTGTTCATTTACAGTTTGGGATCGATTAGAATAAAAGCTTGTTCGTATTTATTCATTAGGGAAATGCAATGAGCTCGAGCTTTGTTTAAAGCTGGTTCAATGAATAAGTTGAGCACGAGCAATTATTTGTTTGGCTTGTTAGTACAGTATGTATGGGTTTGAACTTGAGTTAGGCTCGAAAACAAGCTCAAACTTGGTTTATTTCATCACAAAGTGAGACGAACCAACTTAAACTTAAGCAAAAAAAATTAACGAGCCGAGTTTGAACATAAAAGTTGAAATTCATGAGCTAACTATAATTTCAAAACAAAGTTGACCATTGTCTAGAACATTTTCAAAGATGCATCTAGATTATTTTGGATGATAATTATCGAAAAATATTCTAATAATTTGTAGTATATTTTATTTTATGCATGGCATTCTCAAATACAAATTTATGGTTAGGTTGCTGGGGAGATGCAGTTCACGGCAGAAGATATAGCGAATTCAGTTCAACAGATATTTAGTTTCATACATGCAAATAGCAGCATGTAATTCTAGGTGACAGAAAACTCTATGTATGTTTCTTCTTCAGATTCTTTTACTGTCTTTTTCTGTACTTTTTCTTTGTGGGGTTTTTTTTTACAAACAAATGCATGCTTTCTGATTAATTTATGAATATAGGTGTACTCTCTCTCTCTCCCTCTCTCCAACCCACACCCATCTTGCTATGCTCTAGATCAAAAACAAACAACAAAATAAAATAAAAAACATAAAAAATTACGTGGTCCAGTTTCATGGATAGGATAGATAAGCAAGCTGGGTTTTACGAGATCGATTCAAACTTTTAAATTTCATTTTTATAAACGAATGTAAAAAATTGTTTAAGGTTGACTCGTTTAAAAAATAAACTGAAATTTTTAGACTCGTTTTCTAAATGAGCCTAAAAAATTATTTAAATTCGATTCGTTTAACACTAATAATATTGGGACATAATTGAAGGATATAATTTGGGGATATATTGAGTTGTCATCAATGAAATGATAATGAAATGTATTTAATGATGAGTCCTATTGTAGTATTAATGAATCACTAATGCTATTGAGACATAATTTTTAGGACATAATGAGTTATCACCAATGAAATGATAGTGAAATGCATTTAATGATGGGACTCATCGTAGCCTTAATGAATTCATTATCATATCATTGAAGACAACTCATTATGTCCTTAAATTATGTCAATAAATTATGTCTCAATAGCATTGCTCTTAATGAATTCATTATCATATCATTGGTGATACCTTATTATGTCCAAATAACATTACTCTTCATTTAAAACATAAATCAAACTCAAGTGGAATTTTATTTGAACTGAAAAAGAGCTGGTGGTTATTGGGACAAGACCATTTACAGTGTTTGATTGAATTAACACGAGCTTCACAATCATATGAATGAGAAAGTCAACCTGCCACTGCCATTGAACCTGGTTGTGATGTGGGTTGACTTGTCAGAACTCAATCCTTGGTGGTATTAGCCTTGATGCACCCAGATGAAGCCATGCTTGGAGGGTCCCTTGTCCTCCACAGTTAGACATGGTTCATCAACCACCAGCCAGACATCTTTGTTTTGGACTCGATCAGTCACTCTTCTTGGTCTTATTTGCCATTTAATTCATGCAAACAAGGATGGCACATGGGTGTTGTTTGGTTTCTCTCCAGAGACTCGATGATATTTTATTGCCCATAGAAATACTTAAATTTGTTTAGTTAAAGACATCTTATAACTCGTACAAGTTGAGTTTGTGGTCGATACCAAGTCTACACAACTGCATACAATTGAATACGTTTAGGGTATGAAAAAGAATAGCATTATGAATTTTGTCGCATGTTGTAGTCATCACGTTAAAAGTAATTGTGATCTTTGCATTCGATTCTATGATAAACGTAATTATTATCCGATTCAATTGATTACATCTAAAGAATCAGATTAGGACATGTCTCAAATCAATCCCAATCCAATCTCTTGTTAGGCATATTCTGTTTGTAATAATAGTATTACAAATCCACACGCATTAAATGGGTATTATTGATTAGCTGGAGCATATATATGGTCCAAAAGAATGTCATTCTTCTTGAGTGTAACATGCATATGCATGGTTGATACCCCTGAAAGTGATCATACTTGACTGCAGCTTGTCCTGCACACTGGAGCCGAGCCCACTTATGAATGAGCAAATGTGCAAAAGTCAACTTGTAGAGAGTACTAAACCATATAACAAAAGACAAATTTTATGTTGACCATCTTGTCTTCCTTGTTGAAGAAAGGCTGCGAAAAAGATATCTTACCGAAATTTATAATTATTTAAGATTAAATTATAAATTCTTTAAGGTGTAAGTTACAATCTTCAAAAATTATGATCGATCATAATAAATTGAAATTGATAACGAAATTACAATTTTCAAAGGCCAAGTTATAACTCATAAGAGAGAAGTTACAATTACTTAAGAGAAGTCCATGATCGATCATGGACTTTTCCTAAACAGTTATAACTTCTCTCTTTTGAATTGTAACTTTATTATAAAAGTATTAAGTGACGATATGGTACCCAAGGCGATATTGTAGACTTTCTCTCCTTGTGTGTGTGTGTGTGTATATATATATATATATATATATATATATATGATAATGCATGCAAGTCAAATTTGTACACCAAAGATATGCACCAAATTATTGTTAGTCGGTAGATCAGTGGAATTTACTATCATCTAATGGTTAGCGATGATTTGGTGCATATTTTTAGTATACATAGAATTATTTTATATATGACTGCCCAATTATTAATTTGCAGCTTCAGTAGTAAAAAGCTAGGAGTTGTCTATGGTGCGGGGAAAAAAAAAATTATGTACCGTACCAATATTGTCGGGTGTTTTTATTATTGTTGTGAGTGTTTTTATTATTATTAGTGGTGTTTTTATCACTGTAGCAATACCGAAGAAAAGTGATAAAATAGTTACTATAAACAGTGATAAAAACACTCACAAAAGTGATAAAAAAATTTGTACCGAAGAAAAGTGGTAAAAATAGTTAACACAAAAATGATAAAAATACCCACAAAATTAGTAAATTTTTTAGTTGTAAAATAACTCATAAAAATTATAATAAAAATAATCATTGAAGTAGTAAATTTTAGAGGTATAATATCGAATTTCTTTTTTTCTGTACTATACTCAAGAAACTATTAGAAGAGCAGTATAAACTGTTATAACTCAACTCAAAAAACATGGCTGCTAAAAAAAAAAAAAAAACTCAACCAAATATTATTTTAATTATTTGATATTTAGTTACATGAATATTATTTTTTACAGAAAGTATAAGTTAAGTTGAATTGAGTAATATAAGTTGATGCAATCTATTCTGCAAGCTGAGTATGTTGAGTTTAAGTATATTTGAATCCAGTTGGTTGGATTGGATTGGTCAAGTTCACCCTCGAGCAAAACTCAACTACTAAACCTATACATTTGCTCAAAGACGGCTCAACAAAACTTTTCAGAATTCAAGTCAAATTCGAACTCAATTTCTCACTAAAAATTTTTACTCAGTTTCTCAGTAAAGTCCTTTGATAATTGTATAATTGCACATAAAATCAAAAACTTCAAAATTTTCAAGGCCTTATTAGATAAGAAATGGAGAGAAAAGTGTTAATTGTCCTAAAATTATTTGCGGATAAAAGTTTGGAGTTCACCATCTTTTAGATAGGATGGTCTAGGAATTCAATCAAAACCATCCATAGCTATAAACCCATTCTAGTCAAGACAAACCTATTCAATCTCGAGAGGAGTAACGGATGCGATCAAGGATATCATGATCCCATTATCGGGGTGGTTTTGATTTATCGGGGTATCATGATCCCATGTGTTTGAAACGTTCGCTTCTCATCAGGAGGTCCAATGATCAATCCTTCCCTTTGATTATTGTATGGCACTCTTTTTTTTTTTTTTTTGTGCTTATAATTCATGCAAAACACTTTATTACAACGGTGATATATGAAACCGGTAATAATCATCGATCGTTCAATATAAAAAAAATAAAAATATTGATAATATATAGTCAAAGAGTTTTTAAGTTATTTTCCAAAAAAAAGTCAGTTATTTTCAATCGTTGAATTTCTTGGAGAATCATTCATGAGTAGTTAAAGTTCATCCGAGAAAAATTATTTTATAAAATTCATAAGATGAAGTTTTATTTTGAGAAATTACGCCGATGTCACGACGGACAGCATGAGCTCAACAACCCACCCATTGGTAGGACTAGGCCACTCAGCCCAGCTTATTTCTTTGGCGGATATGGACCTCTAGTCTATGTTTAGGGCCTGATCTAGTTTGATATTGGATCCATCTTAATTTAATTTGTGTAATTAATCGTATCGAATATCCTAATGTTTTTTATTTTTTTGAGAATAAAATATCCGAACGTTGGTATGCCTGTTTCTTATCGAAAAAATTGATGGGACTCACTCATTTAAAAGATAATATACATTTGAATTATAATTTTTTAAATTTTATTTGAGTTGTGTAATATTACTCTGAAAAATTGATACAAAGATCTCCTCTTTTAAATAAACCATCCGATCAGAGGCTTTCTATAAGTTAAACATTTACTCAATCTAGATGCTACCAAAATTAGGGTCGATAATTGAGTCGAGTTTTGTGAGTTTGAATCAAGTTTTTTTAGCTCTTTTTTTTTTAAACAAGTATAAAAAATTATTCAATCTCAATTCATTTAGAAAATAAGACGAGCCTAAAACAAGCTGAAGTCGAATCAAACCTAAGAAGCTCGACTATTTTACATATAAACGAGCTGACTTTACGGGTTCGAACTGAACAATTTAGGCTCTTTTTTTTAAACGAGTATAATAAATTATTCAAACTTAATTCATTTAAGAAACGAGTTGAATCCAAACTAAACATAAAATGAGTCGAAGCCGAGTAGCTTGACTCGATCATCGGCCCCGAACCAAAATCGATTGGAAAAATCATCTAATCGTAAAAAAAGATTTATACAATACCAGATGAATAAATTAAAAAGAGCTGAATTTTGTGAGTTCGAGTCGAGTCTCTCAAACTCATTTTTTTTTTAAATGAGTAATTATTCAACTCTAAACGAGTTGAGCCCGAACATAGTCCAAAACAAGCCGAATCCGAGCTGAGTCGAGTTTAAGTAACTTGATTATTTTACATATAAATGAATCAAGTTTTTGCGAGCTTAAATCAAATCTTTTGGACTCTTTTTTTTTAAACGAGCTTAAAAAATTATTTAAATTCCACTTATTTTGAAAATAAGTCAAACTCGAACAGAGCATAAAACGAGCCGAACTTAAGTCGAATTCGAGCAGATTATCAACCCTAACCAAAATCAATTGGAAAAGCCATCTAATCGTTAAAAAGATTTAAACAATACCAGATGAATAAATTAAAAACAAAGAATCAAAAATGTTTCTTTGTCTTTCATTTTTCTTTAGAGCGACTTCTATCATTTTTGAATTCTTGTAAAAAAAAAATAAATACTTCTTTAACCCACTAACTTTGTACAGCATTCGTATCATGTTGAAATTTTCACCCTTTATTTAAGAAACAAATATTTTATATCACAGTGATACCACGTACTCGCCGCCCCGTGACTCAATTTAATGAAATGAACTTGACTCTCAAACATGGAGTAATTATTATATTATATAAAGAGGATGGTTAGTAAATTATGTGCCGTCTACTTCCTTACTTCTTACATTATTATTGAATAATAACATCACGTGAAGGTGACGACGTTGTGCCGCAGTTAGGGGTGTCAACTCTAATCCGTTGATATGAACTCGACACGAACGATTATTAAATATGCATAATAAATAGTTAAACTAATGTTTAATATTCAGAATATATTAAATAAATTTTCTTTTTCGTACATTTTAACACGGACACGATACGAATAACTGTGACACGACATGTTAGTCACACAAATACGACACGATGGACACCCCTGGCCGCAGTTATATTGGATATTGCCAACCCAGTCCATAAAATGGAAACGGATTGGAATTGGGCCTTACATTTCAGGCTTAGATTGATTTTGTCATGGCCCAACCCGAAAGTAAACAACTCAATATGGCCCATACCTATAGATGATCCCGAGTTGAACACTCTCAAAAACCCTAGCGCATCTTTCTTCCCCCAGATTCGAGCAGCAGCAAGAGCAGAGAGAGGGAGAGAGAGAGCAAAGATGGTATCTGGATCAGGGATCTGTGCAAAGAGAGTGGTGGTGGACGCGAGGCACCACATGCTGGGGAGACTGGCCTCCGTGTTGGCCAAAGAGCTGTTGAATGGGCAAAAAGTAGTGGTGGTGAGGTGTGAGGAGATATGTCTTTCCGGTGGTCTCGTCCGCCAGAAGATGAAATACCTCAGGTTCCTTCGCAAGCGCATGAACACCAAGCCTTCTCATGGTCCCATTCACTTCCGTGCCCCTTCCAAGATCCTCTGGCGCACAATCCGTGGGTATGTGTGTATGGGTATTTGGGTCTTCATTACCCTTGAACATTTATGCGTGTGTGGATTGATACATAGTACCCATTTGTTCCTTTGGTCTGTGGAGGTTTTTTTTTTTTTTTTTTTGTGGGGCTTGATAGATGAATACTGATTTGCTGCTTTTGTTATGTATTCGTTGTATTTAGAAATTGTTAGAAAGAGAGCCATTTGTTACTTCCATTTGTCTAGTGAGTTTTATGTATATTTGTGTGGGTAGAAGCTTACCCATTTGTTATTGTGATCATATGGGAGGAAATTGTGGGATTATGTTTATTTGCTGCTTGGATAGCTACTAGTTGTTTGCTATGAATTAATTAGAGTTTAGACTGATTTATGAGTATGAATAAATAGGTAGATCCATTTTGTGTGTAGTGATTGTTTGTATGATCTGTTTAGATAGACTTGTATTAAAGTAATGGGATTGACAGATTTTGTTTGGAGCAGACAATTTTGGCTTCGGTTTGGAAAAGACAATCAGTTCTCTGTTTGTTCAATTCTTGAGTAAACCTCATATTCTATGTTTATTTCAGTTTGTGTAATTAGTAAATTAGTATTGTCATTAAGAAATCTTTTGTATTTTCTTACAGAGACTATATTTACTTGGTCTATAGTTTTGTTTCTGTTTCATGTTTTCTGGGAACAGTAAAACCTTAGAGATCCCTTTTGTTTGTTTGGAAAGCAACTCAGTTCATTTCTTCTTGTTTTCACGTATTTGGATTTTAGAAACCCCTAGTGGGTAGATCTTGTTGAAATGTGGACTTATATTTGATTTTATTGGTAATATGTTGTAGGATGATTCCCCATAAGACTAAACGTGGAGCAGCTGCACTTGCTCGTTTGAAGGTTTACGAGGGTATCCCACCACCATACGACAAGATCAAGAGGATGGTCATCCCTGATGCTCTCAAGTGAGTTTTGTAATTGCATAGCTATAGTGCATTACTTTGTGTGTTTGCATTGTTGATCACATCAGCATCTTTTAACTATTGGTTCGTTATAATTCAGGGTTCTGAGGCTTCAAGCAGGACACAAGTACTGTTTGTTGGGTAGGCTTTCATCAGAGGTTGGATGGAACCATTATGATACTATCAGGGTAAGATTTGGCTACTATTTGTGTGTGGTAATTTAGTTTGCCCAACTGGCTTCCTCTGATTAATTAGTTTCATGAAGTGGCTGTGCTTGGGGCTTCTTGTCTATATTCAGTCCACTGTTAACCGTACTTTGACACATTTCCTTATTATCTAGTTTGGCCCTCTTCTGGGTTTGGACGTGTTTGCAATGAATTACTTGTACTGCTTCCATTTTTGAGATATTGTAATAGGTCCTTTTTGGTTTGTTCTTTCTTCAGTGTCTCTCCTTCTATTCTTAATACTTACTGCCCTCTTACCATCTCAGTTAGTTTTGACTAGATGTATTTTAACATACCTAGACATGTTCTTTTGGTGGAAATATCACTCTAAAAGTGCTTAATGCTACTGTGTTTTGATCATTTGCACTTTTATATATCCTTTGAGCATTGTGGATATCGAATCCTTCATTTCTACAATAAGAACCTAGAAGAAAATTGCCATTTCTACATCCACTTGTACTCGGAAGAAAGTTGCATTGCAACATTTTTCATGCTTCGTTTTTTCATGGTGTTACTTCGTGAATAATGTTTTCCTGAAGATGTTACTCACGTGCTGTCACTTAAATGTTCATGCAGGAGCTAGAGAAAAAGAGAAAGGAGAGGGCACAGGTTGCATATGAGAGGAAGAAGCAATTGACAAAATTGAGGGTCAAAGCTGAGAAGGCTGCTGAGGAGAAGCTTGGTCCTCAGCTGGAGATTATTGCTCCAATCAAGTACTAAAATATTCTTAATAGTTTCCTTAGATGACAATTTTGTTGGAGAATTACGTTCCAGTTAAACTTGCTTCTTTTAGACACTGTACTTTGAGTGGTTTATCGTTGCTTGTGGTGATATTTGAGCAGAGATTCGCAATTTTAATCAGGGTGACTGTATTTTCCAAGTTAAGACATCTTTTCTGTGTTAGTAATGATGCTGCGCTCTATCTTACATTCTCCCTATATCTATGAGGACATGTTTTCATAACTGGGGTGTTGATGATGCTGTTCGTATTTACCATGATGCCTCTTGGCTTGCTGAAACCATTTGCTCAGCTGATCGACTGTGTGTTGCATAATGTGCCCATCCAATCGTTTCTTGCTGAATACATTCAAAAAAGTGTCTTACCGCCTGATTCCATGATTTGAGTTCTTGATATGTGTATTAATTATCAATTTAAATGGTGTGCCGAAGGCAGGTAATTCACAGAAGTAAATCTAGCAATGGAGAATCCTTTACCCCCAATAAGGCTTCAGGTGAGATACCACCTAGTTCAAGTTTTAGATGGATGAAGTATGGTGGAAGATTTAGAATAGAGAGGTTTTAGGGCATGTTTTGATTGTTGGATTATTCAGGTTGGTTGGATTATATTTTCACTTTATGGTATTTATTCAGCTTGGCCTATGTTTGGGGGATACAAATTAGCATATCTTTTTAACAAGGGGATGGGGCTTTGGACTGCAAACCCTCTCTAGTTCACTCCATTTGGGATTAAAATGGTTATTTTGTAGTGCTATCCTTTTCCCACCTGATTTAACTGAGGATCAAAATATGGTGTCAAAGCAGCCTAAACATTTTTGTTTATAAGGAGATTGAAATGAATCATTGATTGAATTGAAATTTTAATACTTCAATGTATTTTGGATTGTTTTAGAGATTTTTTGAGATGTTTCGATATGTTTTTATCAATGTTTTGAAATTTTTTGAGATGTTTCAAGATCTTTAAATATATTTAGATCAATACTTTAAAATGTTTTGAAAATAAATTTTTAAATTTTTATTGATTTTTGAAATGTTTTTAAAATATTTTGATTTCTTAAGTGATCGAAATAATGCAATGCATCGAAATGATATTTTGAATTGGAACTTTTGAAAAGCAAGCATTTAATCCATACCTTTGTGAGTCCATTGAACTAATTTAACTGAGAGCAATGCAATTGGAGCTTAATTTACTGAGTTTGTTGGTTTAATTCGTTATAACCTTTGAAATAACTGTGAAGGTTCATTAAACATTAGAATTTAGTGTTAATTCAATTGTTCTATTGAAGTCACATTATTATGTCAACAAATTAGATCAGATTCTTATGTTTAAATAGTATTACTCTTTAACTAATTCCTTTATCTTAGCACGTAACCATTTTTACTAAATATTATGCTCCGTCAATCCATGATATCACTATTCAAAAAGTAATCATTACGTGGCTATGGTGAATCTCAAATAATTGAATCAACTATTCTCTCAAAACTCTAAACATGTATACGAAAGATTTCACCGACTTATATCATTCCATTGTTGAATGATGAAACCACATGTTACGTATCAAGTGATTTCATTGGTGCCAAGAATGTTTTACTCATAAAAAAAAGGCACTAAAGAGAGTCGCGGTAATGTTTATGTTGTGTAGCGTTTTCTTGAAGCATAAAAAGGTTGCCTTGTACATTTTCAATACGCCAGCCTATAGAAATGTCGTGAACCTTTTGGGTAAAAGAAAAATCACAGGCAACATTTCAGGTGCATATATAAACGGTTCTGAATATTTGCTTGTTAATATAAGTTCCAAAATAAAATATAGAAATAAACCAAATTTGGAAGATAAATCATTGGTCAAGATGGAAAAGAGAAGATTGAAGGGCACTTGAAATTATGATTGACAATTGAACCGAGTTTATAAGCTCGAGTCGAGCCTGTCGAACTCATTTTTCTAAACAAGCGTAAAAAACTATTGAAGTTTAAAACGAGCCGAACCCAAGTAAATTGATTATTTTATATATAAACGAACCGAATTTTGCGAGCTCGAATATAGCCTTTTAAATTCGTTTAGCTAAAAATTGTTTGAGTTCGACCCATTGAGTCGAGTTCTATACGAATCGAATTCGAACTGAGTCTTAGTAATTTGACTCGATTATTAAATGTTGATTGATTTGCTCCACCCATTGAAACACCGAAGGTTGACTATTATTACAGAAAATTTAAGCAAATGAATATTAAAAGGGAGGAAAATATAGAAGTGAGATCAATTCCAATAAAAAAATTTCCGATTTTCTCCTTAGTTGGTTACAATATTAAAAGATGTATTAAGTAATTATAACAAATTAAAACTCTTTAATCCAACATTATACTATATTTGCTTGTTAAAAATACTTCTTATTATATCTAGGATTGTTCCATATATTTATAAAATATGTATAAAAATAATACGTTCTACCTGTATTATTGAGTTAATTTCAATACTACCTGAAGAGATGTTATTGTAATACAGTGCAATGGTATTAGATATTATTCTACTATTTTGTCCAGCAAATACATAAAAGCATAAATAACTAGATTAAATTGATAGTTTTTTGGTCAATATATAATTAATATTGTATTATCTCACTCTTAATCTAGTATCTTACTAAACATTGGATTACAATGGGTAAATATTTTTATCCCACATTTAATCTTGGGTTTTATCTTCTTATACAAAATGTGGGATAAAAATACAATCATTTCTTTTACAGTTTTACCATACGATAACCAAGCGAGCCCTTTGTATACTCGAGTGGACCCATTGTGTATAAGTTTAGGAAAATATTATTTGAACTTAATTTGGGGACCTAATATAGAATCTAATCAATTACCGTCATTGGATTGAATGTGAGCCCCATCCAACCTTATCTTTCAAATATAATCTAATTACTGTAATGAATTAGGTTCCTAATAGGATTTTCAAATTATATCCCTAGAGTAATGTTCATAAGTGTATTCCTCGCAGAGAAGTTGAGAGGATTTATAAAATTATTGTGAGTTATAACATGTCGTGTTAGATTTGAATCATATACAATCGAGTTTGTACTGAACTTTCAATCAATTTATTAAACGGGTCTAACATAATAATTTAAATATGCTCCGAACCAATTAAAACTAAATCAATATCCAATAATTTCGTGTCGATTCTATATTGGGTTGATCAATTCTATCAAGAATTATCAACCATACTTCACAACAAGCTCTTAGGGTGAGCTCACCTCTATGATTTGGGTATTGTATTTTACACTCGTGTCTTCCTTCCATACAAAGCCCACATTAATTTGATGTATAAATAGTTTTTTTTTCCTCCACTTGTATCATATTTTTCTATTTGTTTCCACCTTTATAATTTCTTTCTTGAGCAAGTTTCATAATTTTAGGAGTAATTTAAGGAAAATGGCAATTATTAAGAACATCATTTTTAAATATTTAGAAAAAAGTCCATTCCAAATTATTGAGGGATAAAATCAAGGAAAACAAAAGGGAAAATCTTCCTTCATATTCTCAGAATCTGGATACCAACTCTCTGATTGTCTTATGCCATTTACAGACCTTTGACTTTCCCTATTCCCTCCAAAAAGTTTTTAATGTTCCTTTATATAAATATTAAATCAGAAGGTGAACCCTTGAAGGCACTAATTTAGAAAAGCTCTCTCTCTCTCTCTCTCTAGTTTTTGTCCCACTGCTTAGACACTGAAAATGGGTTTGCAGAAGTTCTTCATATATACAAGTCTTGCTCTCTTTATGGGGTTTGCAGTAGGAAATGGCAGAAGAAGCATCACAAGAGGCCAGTGAGTTACCCAACAATCTATGTTGATCCAACAGGCCATAGCAATTTCTCTACCATCCAAGCAGCTATAGATCATGTTCCTGCACACAATAAGAATTGGATTTGCATTTACATCAAAGCTGGAGAATATAGGTATTTTGCTTGTCTTTTCTTACCATTCAACCATTGTGTAGATACATAAAATGAACCCGTCGGGATAGCTCAAATGAAAAGATCTCGAGAAACATTAGTATCTCAAGTTTCTTAGAACATTAGTATCTTGCAGGGAGCCGGTCGAGATATGCATGATCTTATCTCATGTATACACACAAAATGAACCAGTCGAGATGACTCAAATGCGAAGATCTCATGCAGGGAGGATTAATACCTCGAGGTTTCCAGTGTGAAAATTGAGAGAATATTCGATACAACGGTGACACCGTATGTATGTATTGATGACATGATATCAACAACCAATAATAAAACTCTAAATTGGCAAAATGAAATCCACTTGGATAGTTATTGGTTTACATAAAAGAATGGTGGATAGTTATTTACTTTGATGGCCGGGTAGTTATTAACTTGTGTGGGGTCCATTATCTTATTTATCTGCATATTATTGGTTGATGATACCACGTGATAATACTAGCGTAGAATCACAGTTGCAATGAATATTTTTCTGTGAAACTTGTTCTCCCTCAATGCAAAGCACGTGGTTTGGCGGTTGATTACGTGCATATAAAATATAAAGTTGAAACCATGTGCCCAAAAAAAGTTTAAGTTGGATAATTCTCTATTTAAGGAAAAGTAAATTAAATGTATGAATTAATTAATGCATGGTTTTGTTTTATATTTATGTATATGTTGTTTATTACATGCAGGGAACAGATTTCAATACCTTTCAATAAGCCATTCATATATCTTAAAGGAGAAGGGAAATGGAAAACTAGGGTTGCTTGGGATGCTCATGATTCAATTGCCACAAGTGCTACTTTCACCTCTCATGCTGGCAATATTGTGGCCAAAAGCCTAACTTTCATGGTATGAACTCTAAAAATTATATCTTGGTTATATATATTTTTATATTTTTGTAGAAAATAAACTCTTTTTTAGCATATTGTATACTTTTATAGTTTTACCGGTGAGTGTAGTTCAGTGGCCAGGGACGGAGTCAGGTTTTTCGCTTAGAGGGTAAAATATTGTTAAAAAAATTTTACCAATTGATACAATAAAATTTTAGGTCCAACACAATATATATCAAGATTTAAGACTAAATTGGTATATGAAATTGTAAAACTAGTTTCTTTTTGTTTCTTAACAAATTAGATACAAAATTTTTTTTCAAAAGGTATTTTAATCCAATCATTAATGAAAGTGGAAACATGGTATTCTTTCAAATCTCACTCACAACTCCATGATATTTTTTTCTCGTTTCTCTGCGATACTTAGTTGAGATCATCTTCTGTGTTGTTAAAAATTAAATCTTTGAAATAATAAAAAATATTTTTTTATTAGAGCACGGAATACTAATTTACAGGAAATAATTTAGATCGCCTGTACAATTATTTATTAAAAAAATAGGAGATAATTTATCGAATAGAAAAGATTTAGTGTTGTTGGTCACTATAATATTTTGCATATATCTTTACTCAATTCAAGAATAAAAATCGGTTTTAGAGGGTCAATGGACCACTAACTAAAAACAAAATAAAATTATTACCATTATACAAAGTTTTTAAAAAAATAAAGGGGTCAATTTCTCAAAATGAACAAAATAAATTAGATTCGGTGCGCATAAGTTGAGATAGTCGGTTGATAAAAAAAAAAGTGTCCACCTTAGTCCAAAGGTGGCTCCGCCCCGGTCAAGTGGTTACGGGAGTGAATAATAAGTACATAAAAAAATTTAATTATTGATTTTTCTGTCCATATGAATTGGAAACAGAATTCTTACAACTATCCACCGGAGAAGTCGCGTAACCCAATAAGGGTGGCATTGGCAGCCATGATTTCCGGCGACAAATCATCGTTTTACCGGTGTGGTTTCTTGGGGTTCCAAGACACTTTGTGGGATGTTCAAGGCCGACACTACTTCAAGCTTTGCACCATCCAGGGAGCTGTTGATTTCATCTTTGGTGCTGCCCAATCTATTTATGAGGTGAGAAATAACTTCTCTTTTTTTGCTTTCGACAAAAGGGTCGGGACAAAGGAGAGTGCCTAGAGACCACCCTAATAGGCCCTCATTGGTGGGATCATGAGGTCTCTGACAGCGCCCGTTACTCATCTCGAGAAGGAATCTAGTTAGACTAGTATAACGGATAATCACTCAGTTTCTAATGTGAACTTCAAGACTCGAATATCTAACCTCAATGAGAAACTCCACTAAACCACTCCAGTCGGTGGTAGGTGAGAAATATTTTGCTTCCCAAATTTGTGTCTCTAATCAACAAGGATGGTTGGATTAGTGATCTAGTCAGAAAAAATTATTGGGACCCACTAATCCAACCATTCTTATTAATTTGGGATGTAAATTTAGGTTACAAATTTAAATTGCGTAGCATTGTTTGAGTGGGGGGTAGAATTTTTTCAACAACAATTTTTATATATGATCACAAGAATTAAATATTTTGATTCTTCCCCTTTTTTCACAATATTAGTTTATTTATCTCATTTAGGAAGATAAATAATTCCATCTATCCACAAAAAAAGATCAAAACAAATTGATTTTATTGATCTTCTCTCTTGATATTATATTTTTGTGTCCATAGGCAGAAAAATTGCATATAAATAATGTACGAGAAAAATATATTTCACGTCCTTGTACTTTGACTTTATTGCATATGACCCCCCAACAATAGTTTGAAAGAATCACATAATCTTTTTTGGGTTTGGGGGTTAAAGTGGAGAAAATATCAGACGTAATGGTTACATCAAACCAATAATATTGCATTATGTAACCGTCTACTAACAATTGAACAAATAAACAAATAAATATCACAAAAATAAGTAACTACTCTTCTAGTAATATGTAACCACCTCCATATAGAACAATAGAGTCCACTTGCTCTATTTGTTTATTTTGTTTTTAGACGATTACACAACATGTCAATGCTGAGGTGGTATAACCGTTACACCAAATATTTACTCGTTATTTTCTATTAAATGAGGAATCCAACGTGGAGAGTCAAAGTTGTAAAATGACTCACATGTCCTTCTAAATATAATATTTTCGACTTTTTTTTTCTTCATGAAAGCTTAATATATCCACTAGTTTTATGACAAAATACATACATCTGCATAAACATTAATTGTTCTAAATATGAACAAAGTTCATAATTGTTTTTTTCACCGAAACGACTAAAATATTTGGGTTTCCTTCAAAATCAAAAAGAATTAGTAATTTACTATTGATATTTTAATGTTTCAGGTGTTTCGAAATATTTTCATTGATATTTTGAAAACAATTTTTAAAATTTTTCTCTTTTTGTAGCGTTTTCAAAATATTTCTTAAATTTGAGGAGATTATCTTAAAATTTTCAAAATGAAATCTCTCTCTTATTTGCAGAGATGTACCATATCAGTAGTTGCAGGAGTCCTAGAAGGACTTGCAGGTTTCATAACAGCACAGGCAAGAATGAACCCCAGTGACACAAATGGGTTTGTGTTCAAAGACTGCAATGTGATGGGAACTGGAGTGACCTTTCTGGGAAGACCATGGAGAGACTATGCTAGGGTTATATTTTACAACTCATCTCTATCTGACATCGTTGTTCCTGAAGGATGGAGTGCATGGGGATCTGTTGGTCGCGAGTAAGATCTCTCAACCCTAAAACACCCTCCATATTATATTATGATGTAACTGTACTACAATTAGGCGATTTTAGATACGACTCTGACACAAAAATTGATATAAAATTAATGGGGTTGAATAGTTTAGCTAGCGAATTTGAGTGATAAATTGATGGATGCGCTAATTTAAGGCCTCCCCCTCCCCTCTCCCTCTCCCGGGGGCGGCGCGGCTCAATCAAATTTAAGGCCTAAAACATAAAATATTGAATGGAAGTTTTTTTTATTTTTAATAATATTTTTTTAAAAAATTAATTTATTTTTAATTTTCTATGTAAGAGAGATACAAAAGAAATATGTGTTAATGTTATCGAGAAAGAGATTTCAATTTTTGTTTTTATTTTTTTTTACCACAAAGAAGGAGAGAGTGTTTCATTTCAACTTTTTTTTTTACCACAGAGAGAGAGAGAGAGAGAGAGAGAGAGAGAGAGAGAGAGAGAGAGAGAGAGAGTAAATATGAGTTAACTTTGAAGTATTTTTTTAAGTTTTTAATTTCTAAGTTTTTAATGTTATGGATTGGATTATAGGCTCAAATTATTGCAATAAAAATTTTGATTGAATTTAATTTTTTGGGACTTTTTTGCGGGGCTTAAAATTTAATAAATTTAATTTTTTTGTAGACTAGTGATGTACCTAAAATTATGAAGCCTTCTGAAAATTTGAGGCCTAAAGTCCATGCTTTTTTTTTTTCATACTATTGGGCCGTCCTTGCCCTCTCGCTCTCCCTCATTCGTCATTCACTATTATGTGGAACTCGTGTCGGAGGAAAGGTAGTGGTTTATTAGCCGATTTTATCTACAATGACAAAGATCGGGAAATTCAAACATAGTTATTTTTTATGAATACCCTAATTTTGGCATGAATGATCTATGTATGACCGAACTAGAAAAGATATTAATCGAGGTGTACATAAATTGGCTCAAACACCCTGACATTGAACCAAAAAAAAAAAACATGGGTTGTCCATATTGTTACAAGTGACAACCGTCACATGAATAGAACTACAATTTTTCTTTAGTTTGAGGGAAAATATTACATCAACAAGTGAAAATAGTGAATTATTATTTTTGTAGATTCTTGTAATATTGGAGATCTACTATGTGGAACTCTGACCACTTATATTGAATTTAAATATGCTTATTTGGTTATGATTTAGGTATCAATTAACATTTGCTGAGGCTGGTTGCTATGGATTGGGATCAGACACTTCAAAGAGGGTCAAGTGGGAATATCAGCTAAGTGAGGAGACCTTGGGGTGGTTAACTAGCATTTCTTTTGTTGATGATGAAGGCTGGATTAGTAGACAACCCTTTAACATGTTGGTTTGATCCTGCAACAATTACTGTACCATAAATAATACTAGGAATTTTTTTTTTTGTTGGGGGTGGGGGTGGGGGTGGGAAGACTTTTACTTTTGTAATCTGGAAAGACCACTCAGCTGTTAATCTTTTGATTTGTTATCATCGTTGTTCTTCATTGGTTTATTGTGCTGCATAAAATGCAAGAAACATTTCATGGGAACCCATCCGGGTACTTACCGAAAGAAAAAACAAACCCAGCTGGGTACTAATGAGCATTTAGAATCATGAACAATGTACTAATGTATCATATTGATTGGTTGAGAACCAATTGAAATAAGCTTTATCGCAATGGGCACATTACCGTTCACATAGAAAGATGCATCACCTGGCCTCTTTGATGTCTCGGAAGATTGATACCAAGCAACCCCGATTAGTGACCACCATACTTCAGATGACAAATGCAATTTGCTTCCCAGCACTGCCACAGTGATCTGCTCGTTATAGGATGAATATAAACTCCAAAACCATTTTATCATCACAAGTAACTGTTCGGATACTTGATATCAACTTTGACTCAATCTCGTTGCTCTTCAACTTGCGAGCTACTCTGCTAAAATTCCTTCCATTTTCTGAACAGTAAGCTTGCTTTCTCCAAAATGAAGGGTTAAAGGACTAACCAATGAAGCCAGCTGTCTATTTGGTATTATGTGTGGGGACACTAAGATAAAATTTAGTGTTCTTGAAGTCATCCAAAAGAGGGTTGTATCCATCCTTTGTTCTTGTCTTTGAGGGCAGACCAAATTCTTCCATAAACTGATATGTGTCGAGCTACAGCAGACATGAAAAACATAAGCACAAGTAGAAGCAAGTGAAGATGAAATTCTCAGCTAAAAATTGATTTAAAAAGCATCATTAATGCAACCCGCAAACAGTAAATTACAGTTTGACAATACAGACATAAAGACTTTTTTTGCATCATGGGGTCCTATATATAGATTCTCTCGGACTGCACCCCTCATAATTTTCACTTAATGTAGCATATACCAACACTGCAATAATAATACAACAGCACTGTACCCAACAGCTCTGAAGGATTCCTTCTAATGATCGAATATTGTCAGTTTGTCACTATAATTCGAATAACAAACAGGATCTAAACTAATTATGTTCTAGGAAAGTGGCAAAAGGGGTTACAACTTACAATATGTAATTGGCTGGAATCTATCTTCAATCAAAGCTGCGTATTTTGGGAATGGCATACTCTTGTGTTTTCCATGTCAATAGTAATAGTATCATTAGACATGCTTTTCTGAGTGATAATTGGAATTGAAAGAGGAAGTAGAGTTGATTAACTTAATCTGTGCTGGAAAAGAAATTTACGAGTTTAATCTATAAAAGATCCACCATGTACTGACGTAAATTTTGTGCTCAACATTGATATGTAATGTGGAGATGTTGATACTCAACAGTTACAACAGAGAAGAGCAGGTATTACCGCAAGCGTCCGCCTTTTTTTCCCTTGCTGGGACGTTTTATCTTTCTGCAGCTTCAGCCAACCAGAGCAATAATGGTCCATGCGTTCTAAAAGCCAAAAGTCCGTTGGGAAAAAGATATCAGCATCACCCTGCGGTAGGAATTATTCAACACATTATCAGGACGCTGAGAGATCAAAACAGGCTTTAACTCGGGTTTTCCAAGGCCACAGGACAAATGAAATCACAAGATGATGTAAAAGTAATCAGCAATATTATATTCCTACGAAGTAAATCAGCAACATGATCTCTTCAATAATATGTACTACATGAATGTATTACCCTCAGTTTTAAGCTAATGAATTAAAGAAATAGCCACTATTTTTAAGATAAAAATTAGCCAAAACGCAGTAAGAATTTTTCATGGAAGACCAAGTCATGGCCCCAAGCTGCCGTCAATGAGACCAAAACAAACCATTCCATATAGCTTGCCATGGCATCATGGAAGAGCCTATGTTTTATATCACAGCATATGAAACAGAGCCTGCTTGTTGAACGTAAAAGGGCAAAAAAAAAAAAAAAGAAAAAAGATTACAATTTTGATACAAATTCTTGAAGATTGAACATTAAGATTTATTTGGAGAGACACCGAATAAAAGGATATCAAAAATCTTCTAACAGCAAATATCAGCCCCCCAGCCGTGGAGGTTTTCAGCTAGAGGATATAGAATGACCCAAGGAACGCAGTCAAATGAATTATCAGAAAGATCTACCAACTTGACTTTACTACGTTAAATGATCAGGATCTTCAGCTTCCCCGGTGCTTTTTCCAATTTATGCATGAGGAAAATCATACAAGAGACATTCAGTTTCTGGTCCAATTTTATATCTGCTCATAGACTTTACATGCTTTTCGTGTCCAATTCATTCAGTAAAAGGTTGGCATTAGTGGAAGCCAGTAACCGTAACTTCTTCAAAGTAACAGCGCTGGAGGAACAACCCAGCCAGTTAAGGCCAGGAGCACATCCAAGTAATTAACTAGAATCCATATTACCACCACGCGCACACACACACACACACACATATATATATATAGAGAGAGAGAGAGATCATAAGATAAAATAGCACCTTTGCATCCAGGTAACTATTGTGATCTGAACTGCTGCCATCTTTCTGCAAAGGAATGCGTGAAATAGGTCAAATAAACTTGCAGACTGAACTCACTTAACTAGCACATGTATGACGCAAGGAAAACATAAGTAAGAAACTTGATAGTACATTTAAATACAAGTAGGCAGGCACTTCACAATTTTCCTCCTCTTTTCCATATGTGAGACATCCCACCAAAATTTTGAAAGAAAAGTTACAAAAGAAAATAAGATGAAATCTTTTAAGATACAACCAAAGACTTACTAATTCTATCTTTTCTTTTCTTATCACACATCCACCAAAGCAAATAGCTTGAGAAATTATTATATGCAAAAGAAAACTACTAAAACACATTCCCAGAGTTGTTTATAACCTTTACATCGTACCTCACAGCACACCAAACATATGAGGTGGAATATGCTAAAAATTGAATACAAAAATCAGAAAGGGCTGCTGCTAATGGTCATATGAGATGATATGGAAGATTTTATGAGTGATACCGGTAATAAGGCCATCAAGGCAATCTAAGGGGTACACAATTAGATAGCCTATCCTTTTCTTCATTTTAGAGCAGCATCTTATTCTACATTTTCTTCACAACCACACAAAGCTATACTTGATCTAAGATATTGCTTTTTCCATGGAATATGTATGGAAGCTTTATGTGAATCAGGATAAAATTCAAAAGACAAAATATGAAATAACACTGAGTATAAGTATTGATTCCAACGAGATATGGAACAAAGTGTACCTTGGTTGAAACCAGAGGCGCTCTTTCGCCAGGTATTCTCACATCAGGGAGGAAGCTGAAATCAGAAGCAATCAAAGACATCTTCGGCAGGGCTCCATGTAGAACTTCTAAAAGTTTCTGAATATTGGAGGGATATTACCACCATAAGTTAAAAAAAAAATAAAAGAAAAGACAAGACCTATTAAATATTTTTTCAATTATCTTTTTACCAAGCAACCAGTTGGTAGCCAACATCGTTGAGGCTTTGGAAAAACTTTGGCCCAAATGCTTCGTCCTAAGGAAGTTGCTATGCTTCCTCGAGTTGAATGGTCCTTGTCCAAATCCATGATCTCCAT